GGTAGGGTAATTTTTTTACTGATTAAGTATCTTATTTCATAGACAGACTTTAAAAAATGCAAGGTTCTGTATTTAATTCTCCTCTCAATTAGCAGAAACAAAGGCATAGTTAGTGTTCAGGACATGGATTAAACTTCAGTTTGCAATAGGATGGCCTAATGGTAGTTGTTGAAATGGGATTCTAACTTTATAGTGTAGCTTACTGAAACTATGAATTTAAATATGCTGTTTTAATTATTCCAGAGCATTCCCCATATGGTCCCTCACCATTGGGTCGGCCTGCATCTGAAACGAGAGCTTTTCTCTCTCCTCCAACCTTGTTGGAGGGTCCACTCAGACTCTCACCTTTGCTTCCAGGGGGAGGAGGAAGAGGTATATTGTTTAAACATCTTTATTACTCTCAATTTCTTCCTTACTTTATATTTTCATCTCAACTTACTTTCAGATGATCTTTAAAATAAACATTTGGAAAATACAGGCATTCCTTGCACTTATTGAGGATTACTTTTCTTTGAAAAGGAGCTCTGTGACATCTAATTTTGATGTATTTTTCTCTTAGAAACAGTGTTAATACTAGATTATGTTTTGATCGAGGACTTGACACTTATCTTTTTAAGCCATAGTTTGACTTCTTTAAAACTGTTTTACATTACATAATATAAAATTTACAAAGAATATATAAAATACAATGTAACATTTTATAAAGAATATGTAAAATACAATAATACAACCTAGAATAACCTAGAATAAAATTATATTTGATGAAACTTTATTAGAATGTAGGATTTAAAAAATCTTTTATTATTATGATCTTCTTATTGGAGAAAATCAGAAAGTAAGAAAACCTTTTTTTAGAGGGAAGGAAGTCAGAAGTGTTCTAGGCAGAGTTTGGATGAGAACCTTCATTATGACCTAAATCATTTGTTAATACTCTAAGAAACCAGCCCAGGATAGTCTGTTTTGTTCTTCCCTTATATGCTTCTGAAAATTTCCATAGCTGTTTAAGCCTAAGCATTAGTTAGCTTTTTGTTTTGCTGCACTCACCTCATCAGCACCACCCTGGGGTTATGAAAGGCCCTAGAGTGCCTTTGAAATCAAACTCCTGTGTTCCTGAGTTCCTCTTTTGATCTCTCACCTTGCTTTCTTCAGTTTGTAAATGGCTTTAAAGTTTTCCCTTGGTTTGTGGCAAAATTCCAAGATAAAGAGCCTTATATGTTCCAAAATCAAAAGTCTTGGGTTTTCAGTTCCAAGTCTGTGTTTAAAAGAGCTGATGTTCTTCATTAGTGAAGTGTTCCCACCCTGCTAGTGAGTGGTTTTGACAGATTGAATCTGAAGTAGGAATATAAAGTAATGAGACTAAATAAATAAAAATGCCAAACCCAACCAGCAGACAAAGCTCATACAGTCAACTGGATATTACTTATCTAAATAGTCTCTTAAGAAGTCTGTACACTTCTTACTTGAAGCTGCCATTATTCCAGATGTTTCTGGAACTCTTCCTTTGGAATTGCCTTTAAAGAATATGAGAAAACCAGTTTTCTGGCCGTGAGACATTCTCCCTTTGCGCATTTGCTATTTATGTCCTCTTTTACTTGCTCCCTTGGGACAGTTCCTTCTGACCTCCTAGTACCCTGCAGACTGGGCCCATAGCCTGAGGTCACGTCAGAGAGAGCCTTTGCTTGTGTTGCTTCTGGACTGGAAGCTCCTCGGGAAAGGAATTGCACTGTAGACTGATACTTGGAACCCTAGAGAAGCTTTGCATTGAGCACTCCAAGGAGACCAATTTGGAAGTTTACAGGAGTGCTGTAAGCTGAGGGCTTAGTTCCCTAAGTCAGTTTTTCTCCCCAATTTTTAACCTTGATTTATAGTTAGATTTATTTATTTATTTTTGAGATAGAGTCTCATTACATTGCCCTTGGTAGAGTACCGTGGCATCACAGCTCACAGCAACCTCAAACTCTTGGGCTCAAGCGATTCTCTTGCCTCATCCTCCCAAGTAGCTGGGACTACAGGCACCTGCCACAACACCTGGCTGTTTTTTTGTTGTTGTTGTCATTGTTGCTTAGCAGGCCCAGGTTAGGTTTGAACCCACCTGCCCCAGTGCACATGGCCAGCACCCTAACCACTGAGCTATGGGCGCCAAGCCGTAAGATATATTTTATATTATGTCATATTAAATGGCAACACAAATATAATCAAAACTAGCTACTTCTATAGTAATTACCATCACAGTTTTAATGCTTTCTGATATTTTCTATTTAATTCTCTTCCATTTCATTAAAAAAAGAATGCTGATTAAGAAAGACTAAGTTTGTTTCACATAGCACATAGCAGCTATCAGTCTGAAAAAACAATGCCCTAAAAATAAGGGTTATAATTGGCCAAATTGCAAATGGACATTGAATTATGTAAGTCAAGGATTGCTTGTAGTCAAATGAATATTTGGAATGAAAGTAAAAGTTACCTTTGATTTCTCCTCTCCTCTTTCCTCTCCTATTTAATCACTTTCAAGATACAATGTGTTTGCGTTATTTGCAAGGGTGTTTTATTATTTGTTAAAAACGCTCCAGAAGTTCTGGGTAAGTTATCGCAGGTCCTGCAGAGTTGCTTTGGACTGAACGTTTCTGCCACCCACCGAGAAGGATGAAGTGTGCCTTTTGCTTTTCCTTCCTTTTATTATCTTTTCAAATTGAAGTTTGGATGAGTAATAAGTTTGAATAATATTTTTAGGAAAACAGTTTCTGTTTTTAGAGTTAATTGTTATGTAACTTTTGGTCTGAACGAAAAACTTCAACCTTTAGCATTTTCAGGTTTGTGATTTTCACCTGGTGGTCAGCCA